CAAGTGTGTCACATATTGATCAATTAATAAAGTGAAAAATGATGTGCCAAAAAAAAAAGAAAGAAAAATTTATCATATACTTTCAGAAGCATGGGAAGGAGATGAATTCTTAACTCAAGGACAGAGGTGAGCAAAAAAGTTATGATAAATGGTTTTGTTTGCACAAAATGAAAACCTCTTGCATGAATGATATTAACACATCTAAATAAAGAAGGGAAGCAGTCAATTAGGAAACAATCTTTGTATTTATATTATTAGACAAGCATCTGATATCTAAGATTTATGGACAATAAACAGATATGTAAGACTAAAAGCCATTCTCAAATACTTAAGTGGTCAAAGGATATGAAGCAACAACTTTCCAAAGAATTGCAAACTATTAACCACCATATGAAAGAAGACTCCAAATCACTAGTAAAGTGAATGCAAATCAAAGCTGAATATCAAATTCAGCAAATTGGCAAAGATAAGAATAGTCAGTATTGAAAGAACAGGCACACAAATGCATTGTTGTTGTCCAATCATTCTGAAAAGCAATTTGAAATTTTGCAAAAAAAAAAAGGGGGGGGGGCAGCTAGATGGCACAGTGGATAGAGCACCAGCCCTGGAGTCAGAAGGCCTGAGTTCAAATCTGGCCTCAGACACTTACCAGCTGTGTGACCCTGGGCAAGTCACTTAACCCCAATTGCCTAAAAAAAGAAAGAAAAGAAGAAGAAGAAGATGAAGAAGAAGCGGGGGGGCGGTGAGGGATTGACGAACAGGTTCATACATTTTGATCCAGAGAATCTACTGCTAGTTATTCATATCAAGAAGATCAATGCTGCCCCCCCCAAAAAAGGCTCTATATGGGGTCACAAATAGCCAAGAAGCCGGAAGCAAAGTAGATGCCCACCAAATGGGGTAATGTTACATAGTACAGTAAGAAAAAAACAAATATGATTAATACAGAGAAGCACACATAAACTAATGCAAAATGAAATGAGAACTGTAAAAAATGTGCTCATTGAGTACAACAATGTAAATAGAACAGTAACAACAAAAAAAGCACATGAATGTTCTGAAATAATAGACAAAACTTGGCACCAAAGAATAGATATGAGAAGACAACACTTCTTTTCAGAGCTGGGTGGTCCAGAGGTGTGAAATACTGCACATATTATTAGACTTTTTTTAAAATTTTTGTTTTAAATCAACTTTTGTTTTGTATCACTTACATTTCCCTGTATATCCTTAAGAATCATTACTTAGAACTTTTTTTAAAAAGAAAAAAAATTCTTCAAAACTAATCAATACATAAAAAAATGACAACATATGCCATGCTCCACATGTTCCAACTTCATCCAAATTAAACCACTGTAGGGTCCCTCTCTCCCATTACAAACACCTTTGGCCTGGATTCTCCAAAAAGCCATGGTCCTGCATTGTTCAACTGAGTTCCAGGCAAGCACCATCTATCACCATCTGTATCTCCTTAGGGCCTGCCTTGCCTAGGTCCTTCTGTACTGCTCTTCTAGGCTAGCAGAATCTACTAGCCCACCTTGCTCTTCTATCAAGGTCCCGACAGGCACCATCTGTGGTTACTTTTATCTCCCCAAGGTCTGCCATGCTCCCCTGGCATCCTCCAGGCAATTCTCCACCACCACCACCATCACTATCCCCCCTCATGGCTCTAGATTAACTTATTTTTCAATGATTACCATACTTCCCCATCAGACTCACCCCATCCTAGTGATTCTGAATACCCAGCTGCTTTTGTTCAAATCCCTCTACTGTATTCTCCATTCTCCATAATACTCCCTCCTATCCTCCTCAACCTAAGCCCTGCAACCTATGGTTCTGAAGCTATCCAACACTTATCTTAGTCTCAACTAAAGAGCCACTTCTGCAGGAAACCTTTCCTAATTCACCTTAACCTTAGTGCTTTCCCTCCGAGACTACCCCCAACTTATCTTGCCTGTGTGCAGTTTTTATAGTAATTTACATGTTGTCTCCCCTTTACACTGTGAACTCTTGACAGCAGGACCTTTTTTCCTTTTTCTGTATCCCTAATCCCTAGATATTAGCACAATGTCATAGTAGGCATGTAATAAATGCTTGATTATCAACTTGTCTTCTTCCATAGGAATGTTCTTCAATGTTCACCCCAGTTTGAGACCTCCCCTTTCCATTCCCCCTACCTCAACCCTTGCCTTCTGCCAATTATCTCATTCTCCAGTAGCTCTTTGTTTTGCTGAAGACTATCTTTCTTTATTAGGGCATATCACAATTCCCCTGGATCCAGCATTCCTCTAGCGCATTTTTGCTCCCTCGTATTGTTTGACAAAACACATTGATTCACCTGCTTCTTCACTATCATTTCTCTTTCTTTAAATTCTGATTTCATTTTTAGTCCCTTGTGTACTTTTTAATAAAGATATCTTAATAGCCCTCCCTTTCTAACCTTAGAGTTCAGTCTTTTTTTAATGGTGTCTAGGGACCAAGTAATTAATGCTATTAATCTTTCTTTCCTTGGTATTTTAGTCTTTCTTATGTTTGGGTTGTTTAGATAAGATGTCAAACAATCCAATTCAAATAGAAAGGAGGCTTCTAAAAAGGATCAAAGTGGGGCAGCTAGGTGGCACAGCGAATAGAGCACCCACCCTGGAGTCAGGAGGATCCCAGTTCAAATCTGGCCTCAGACACATAACACTCACTAGCTGTGTTATTCTGGGCAAGTCACTTAACCCCAATTGCCTCTCTAAAAGAAAAAAAAGGATCAAAGGATCATTGCTGGCCACATATTGACTTAGAAAACCATATATTATCTATATTCTATTGTATTTTTATTTTGTTAAACAGTTCCCAATTACCAATGATGTTTTAGTACTCATTCTACTTTCAGTACCTTGTGTTGTTTTATCTGCTTGTATTATAGAGCATTTAAAAAATGTTTTTATTGATATTTTCTGCTTCATCTGCAATAGTATCCCACATATCTCTCTCTCCCCTTACCTCTCCTTGACAGCCATCACATATGACAAATATTTCAGAGATCAGTACAACTGATCAATACATTGAAAAAGTCCTAAAATGTGTGCAATATGTAATACTTGTGAATCCCCCACCTCCATAAAAGTGTAGGTTGGGCATGTCTTCTCATATCTCTTATTTCAAGTCCTTTTGATCTTTAATAATTTGGTTGTTATTTACTTTTTGGTATCCCTATTCCTTGTACATTGTTGTAGTTAGTGTATATTTGTTTTCTTGGCTCTGCTTATTTCTCTCTGTATCATCTCATATAGATACCATGCTTCTCTATATTCATTACTTAAATAATTTCTTACAACACAGCAATATTCCATTATATTCATGAACCACAATCTGTTTAGCCATCCCCAAATGATTTGCATTTATTTTATGTCCAGTTCTTAGCTATCACAAAAAGTGCTGCTATAAATATTCTGGAATATATGGGGGCTTTTTATTCCTGGGATATAAGCCCAGTAATGGAGTCAATGGCTCAAAATGTATGGAATTGTGAATACTTTTTAGTTCATTCAGCACTGAGAATGATGCTTTGCACACAGTAAGCACTTAATAAATGCTTCATTAATTCACTAATTCATACATAGCTTTGGGAGTAATTTCATCCAGCAGTATTTAGTAAAATGTGAATAGAAGCAGAGAAGGCAAATGGTGATGCTAATGCAAAATTAGGCATTGGCACAGCATGACTGGTTACAGAATAAGGAGACAAAGGATTCAAGAGTAAGTAATAGTGTACAGTTTAACTGGTCAACCATCGGGTCAAGACTGTTGAGAAATGAGGAAAAGAAGTGAAACCAGAGCAAGGGTGATGGACTCAGGGGACAGGGATGGGTGGAGAAATGGAAGATCAAGTAAAGATAAAGAATGGTTTTAGGCAGAATAGCTCTTGCACAAAAACCAATACAGCTATAAGCAAAACATTACAAATGGAGGGGATAGAGTGGATGGAAATATCAGCATTTAGTATAAGATTCCACCACTACAAAATTGTTGTTAGTGTTGTTCACTACTTTTTCAGTTGTGTCTGATTCTTCATGACCCCATTTGGGGTTTTCTTGGCAAAGATACTAGAGTGGTTTGCCATTTCCTTCTCTAGCTCATTTTACAGATAAGGAAACTGAGGCAAAAAGTGTTAAGTGATTTGTCCAGAGTCACAAAGCTAATAAGTGTCTGTGGCCAGATTTGAATTCAAGAAGATGAGTCTTCCTGACTCCAGGTACAGCACTCTATCTATTGCGTCACTTAACTGCCCAAGATTACAGAACTACAGAATTAGAAGAGCCCTTAGTAACCATCTAGTTCAGCCTCCTAAACTTACAGATAAAGAAACTGTGGCCTAATGAGATCAAATGATTCAAGCAAGGTTACAAAAACTGAAGTTCAAATTCTGAGAATGGACATGAATCTATAAGAGCAAGAGCCATCCTCCAATAGAGCAGCAGTAGAGGGGAAAGGATTGTGAGTCAAATCATCAGGATTTGAATCCTGGTTCTACTTATTTGGATCTAATCTTGGGTGAGTCATTTAACATTTCTGGGCCTTGATTTCATCTTAAGTAAAATGAAGAGGTTGGACTAGAGGACAACCTTTAATCTATAACTTTATCAACTTATCAATTCATTTTATTTATTTCAAAATAAATCCAAGTTATAATGGTCTAAAAAATTGCTCAAAATTACTAGTAACCAAAGAAATACAAATTTAAAAAATTTTCAAGCAAGATCTCACACCATCAAATTAGTTAAGATATGAAAATTCAATGTTATCGAAGTTGTGAGAAATAAGGCACCTTAATACAAAACTGGAATATTCAGAAAATATTTGTTAATAAAGAGAAGTTACTAAGGGTTTATGCCCTTTGACTCAGAGACAATATACAGAATTTATATATAAATGTATAATATACAAAATATACATAGTATTTACACTACAAAGGAGGTTAATTTCAGAAAGAGGAAAACCATATACACAAATAAATTCATAGCAGTACTACTGGCAATAATTTTGAAAATTAGTAACAAAATGTTTTTAACAATTGGGTAATTGTGGAATAAACTGAGGAATATTATTACATCATACAAAACAATAATAAAAATTCAGAGCCACGAAGGAAGAACTTGATGAAGTGATACAGAGTGAAGAATGTAGGGGCAGAAGAAAAATATGCACAATGTATACAAGAATATAAGTAAAGCCCACACTAAAATGTAACAAAACTCAGATACATATGACTGCAGATTTAAACTTCGGAGGGACCCTGAGAAGTCCTGAGAAGTTAACTGTCTGGGTTCAGATAAATCAGTCAAGATTCAACTCCAAATCCTTCTACTCCAAATCCAACACCCTTTCTATTACTAGGAAGTTATAGATTGCCAGAGAGAATGCCTAGAGCCTAACTGAATGGGTTCAGAGGGAGGGTAAAATGTTTGCTTCAAAAGAGTATATCAACCCCTTGAAGGCAGGGATTGATTTTTAGTTTTAGCCTTTCATTATATTCCCAGCACTTAAGACAGATTGACTAAATGTGTCCTCTTATACCAGGTGAGTGTGTGTATAATCACTCTGCAGGGCAGAAATATTTAATTAATCAAATATATAACAAAGATATTTTCCACTTAACAAAAAGAAAATTTTCTAAAAACAATACACTAAAATGATTGTGCATCATGACTGTCACTAAAGGCAATTTACCCAATTAAATAAAATCTTATTTTTTTTTTACAATACATATATTTATAAAGCAATCCTTTCAGGCGAAGTATACAACTAAAATTTACAGAACTACTTAAGTAAAATACATTTTACAATTAAAATATATTATAATTTAATCCTATAATTTCCAATATTCCAATTCTCTCAATAACAAAAGAAATTCTAAAAGCAAAATGTGACTTTAGGCATTTGCCATGTCAATAAATAATTATTTTCAACCTAACACAAAAAGTAATTCATTATTACATCTACAGTTTGTGTCACTGAAATTTTCATTATGCTTGGTTTTCCAAAATAAGAATTTAAAGTGAAATGTACAGCTATACCTCAACTAATTAGAAGCATAGAAACTATACATACATACATATATAAACACATATATATGTACATACACACACACACTAATATAAACTATACAGATTGCTACAGCAAGTTACATATAATAAATAGCACATGAATGAATAGTTTGCTGAAGAAACCAAAATAAACACCTCCCATTAAAATTACTTAAATTTAACAGTACTGACAAATTGGGTATGGCATATAATTTTATTTGCTTATTTATAATTTAGGTGAAAATTTTACCATGATATATAGTGTTTTGTACAAGTGGAGATGATTTATGAAATGCAAGCTAATATTCAACATAACTCCTATTTTAGATAATTTTCCCTCTTCTAAAATTATGAATATGCACACCCTATTCAGTTTTGAGGCAATAACCTTAAAAAAACAAAAAAAAAGAATCCTAAGACAGATTTTATGCCAAAAGCATTATCTTCCTATAAAAAACTTATTTAAATGAGAAAAATCTCTAATGATTTCCCCCACCCTGAAATATTTACTCGACTCCAAAAGGATCAAGACAATCTCTTCAGTTGTTCCTCAATACAACAAGATGTATTTCTTCTCTTTATCTTCAAGATATCTGATCATCTTTAATGTTCTGAGAAAATGGGAAAAATTTCACACTAAATTTAAAATAATTCATACTCTTAAAAGGTATCAAAGGACAAAGAGGGAAAGACCTATAAGCAGAAATAGCTGACATTAGCACAATGTCTTGCAGAGTAGGTGCTTAATGAATGCTTATTGACTAAGTTACCCTATTAAATTCTCCTCACTTCAACGAAGGTTATGTTAAAATGTGTGTGTTTCTACCCTCGGTTGTTTAGAAATTATCATTAACTGATACTACACTGACTGCTGCTTTTTAGGTACATTCATAAGAATTCATTCATCAACATTCATCGGAATACTTACTGTGGATAGCATCAAGTTACAATAACCTAAACTACCTATTATGTAATTTTGACCAAATTTTTGCTACTCAAAGTCACTTTACTTTTAAGGAAAATTAGAAATTTTATTTAAGGGAAAGATGACACCAAAAAAATTACAAGTTATCACTCACAGTATACTGAAACTATATGAAAACATTGCCCTCTGAAAATTTTCTTAGTATCTCCAGTAAAACTGACATGACCCTATTTTTTTCACCTTGTTCTTCACTATGACCCCCAAAATATTATTATGTGTAAAAATTCTTCAAAATAGCTTAATTCTGTACCTTCATAACATACTAAAATAATGTACAACAATTAAATTTTCATAAAAAGTAAATTTAGTTTTATTATTGATCTTCAAACCAGAGAGCTGACAAAGCATTAGGTCACCATTTCTCATTCATCGATTTGAAACAACCCTAGAACGTTTCCAATTACTTCAAAGGTGTGTCTAAAATCCCTCAAATTCTTAAATCAAAATTAACCTATATTATATAACTTTAAATACAAATGTATTTGTAGCATTTGTATACAGGGGAATTTTACTTAACAGAACTAAGTTGTCACAACTTCAAAATAAAAATCACTGTATTAAATGCTGACCAGGCACAAAACTGGTTCTGATTTTTGTTCCTATTCTAAATGCTCTTCCACCCAGAAAATACTTACTCGTTTCAAGAACTGCTTTCCAAGATAAGTGGTAGCCATACTGGTTAAATTGCTTTGGTTGCCTACTTTGCATCTGATGTAGCCATATAGGTTAGCACCTTGTAGTACCACACCCATGGTGACTACTGCCTGAAAAAGGGAGAAAAATCATTTGATAGTCTTCTCAAATAATGTTAAAATAAAAACAAAACAAACCTTACCTTTATCTCATGATTACAAGTGGGCTGCTCACAAAACAGAAAGTTACCCAAGAGATGATTGTGAAAGGAATGAGTTTATTATGTGAAAAATTAAGTTACACACTTATGTGTCCTGATGTTACCCTCTTTGCAAAAAACTTTTCAAATGTTTCCAGAGATAATTATACTTTACAAATAAGTGAATAAATTAAGATGAGGACTGCATAGGTGAGCCACTGTTTTGAGTATTTATAACAACTAGATTCAGTAAAAATGTATTTGAGTTCTAGTTTCTCTCTGACTTCCCTGATCAAAATACAAAACTCCCATAATAAGTATTATCTTCTTCTATTGAATATAAGTTCCTAGAAGGGACAGTCTCCTAGCATCCTCAATGATTAGCACAGAAGTTGGCACACAATAGGCCCTTCATAAATGCTTCTGCATTCATAGTATTCAATACCTCGAAGCTAAGAGCAGATTGATGGGTATGACTGGATGGCCTAAGAAACTAGATTACTGAATGGTAGAATAATTTTGGTTTTTGTTTTGGTTTGGTTTTAGAGTAGATTAGTCAGTCATTTCAAGGTCATTTCTTTTTTTTTTTATCATTTCATTTTTTCCTCAGGTACATGCAAAAACAATTTTTAACATTCATTTTTAAAACTGAGGTCCAAATTCTCTCCCTTCCTCCCTCCCCACTCACACTGCCCTGCCCCCCATTGAGAAAGCAAACAACTAGACATAGGTTATATATGTGGAGTCGTGTAAAACATTTCCATAATATTCATGCTGTCAAAGAAAACATAAACCAAAACAAAAAACCTCAAGAAAAAAAAAGAAAAGTTTAAAAAAGTATGTTTCAATCTGTATTCAGACACCATCAGTTCTTTCTCTGGGGATGGATAGCATTTCTCATCATGAGTCCTTCAGAGTTGTCCTGGATCATTGTATTGCTGAGAATAGCTAAGTCATTCACAGCTGATCATTTTACAATATTGCTGTTACTTTGCACACAGTACATTTCATTTTGCGTCAGCTCACTTAAGACTTTCCAGGTTTTTCTGAGAGCATCCAGCTCATCATTTTTTACAGCACAATATTATTCCATTATAATCACATCCCACAACTTGTTGAGCCACTCCCCAATTGATGAGCATCCCCTAAATTTCCACTTTTTTGCTACCAGAAAAGAGCTGCTATAAATATTTTTGTACAGATAGATCCTTTTCTTTTTTCTTTTTTCTTTTGTTGGGATACAGACATAGTAGTGGTATTGCTAGATCAAAGGGTATGCATGGTTTTATAGCCCTTTGGGCATAATTCCAAATTGTTCTACAGAACGGCTAAATAAGTTCACAACTCCACCAGCAGTGCATTAATGTCTCATTTTTCCCACATCCCCCCTAACATTTCTCAATTTCCTTTTCTGTCCTATTAGCTGATTTAATAGATATGAGGTAGTACCTCAGAATTGTTTTAATTTGCATTTCTCCATTCAATAGTGAGTTAGAACATTTTTTTTATATGGCTATAGATAGCTTTGATTACTTCATCTGAAAATTGTTCATATCTTTAGATCACTTAGTAATTGGGAATGGTTCTGATTTTTATAAATTTGACTCAGTTCTCTATGTTTGAGAAATGAGGCCTTTATCAGAGAAACCTGCTTCAAATCATCAAAACAATCTGGTATTGGCTAAGAAATAGAGCTGTGGATCAGTGGAACAGTTTAGGTAGACAATACATAGTAGTAAACAGTCCAGGTGGGCTGTTTGAAACATAAAGAGGTTAAATGAGTTACCTAGAAGAATAGAATTAGTGATGTTCTAAGGCAGAATCTGAACCTAGCTCTTCCTTTCCAAGCCTACACAATCTAGCCCAAGCTATCACCTTTAATTATCAGAAGAAAGGTTAAAACAATTCTGCATACCTCCCTGTTCTTAAAACTAGGTGAGACAAATCCTTTGATTGCTTATTTCCAATAGGAATAGGGTTATAAGGTGGGGAACAGGTAATATCCACACAATACATAGACGGCTGTTTATTTGCTTATTTAAATAACTACAAAGAAGGCAGCAACTTTCTATTTAAAATGTGATTCACTAAACTGGTACTTACCAACCACTTCAATTTGAAGGAGAAGAGAGCACTAAAGGCAAATATCACCCACATAATTGGACAGGAAATTAATCCTAACCAAAAAATTCGTGACTCAGCTTCTGAAGAGGTCCTTTTCTCTTGTTTCAATTCCTAAGAAAGAACTTGAATTCAATAGTGTATTCTGTGTTATTTATTATCAACAAGTCCAGAACTTGGTAAGAAACACCATATCTAAAAATACAATCACATACACAAAGACATTCAGATGATAACCTAGAGATCTATCACTATAGAAAGATCATTTGGTAAGGATAGCTTAGAGGGTCCTAGGTGACAGTTGTACAAAGTACAACGTAATGTACTTTGCTATTCAAACTCATGTCTCCTTAGCCACAATTCTTCTCAAATCCTTGACACTTTTATCCTAAGAAAACAGGGAGCCATACCAAGATACCAGAGTAATGCTGAGCTGAGGTCAATAAGAAATTACAGAAAGAATATTGAGCTTAATTTATAATTAACCAATTCATCTGTTTACTAGAACAGGATATGCTTTATTTTTTTGTGAATTAAAAAAATGATGGGCTAAACAATCTAAGAGATTTTACAAATTCATCCCAGTCAGATCACTGGCTTTAGCAAGTGATTTTGGGTTACCTATTAAGTAGCTTTGTTTCTAATTTGTTTCTATTTGTTTCTAATATTATATACTTCACCTGTAAAATACTCTTAAAACTACCCATAACCAAATGACAAAATAATGGAAGAAATTTACCTTTCGAGCCTCAAACACCCAGTGACTCTTTCCATCATCATCTATACGGTTCCACCAGCGCAAGCCAACCATAAGTCTCCCTGTTATATTCTAAAAGAAAATAAAAATTATACACACACACACACACACATACACACACACACACGTATACCACTAACAAACACTTCAACCCTCAATAGAGATACTCAACAAATACTTTCATTTCCTTCATATCCAGTGGTAAGGAAAATAAATGAGGAATTAGGAAGAATTAAGTCTGGCCAAAGATTAATGGATAATATAAGGCAACAGCAGGAAAAATATAAGTAAACAAGAAAAAAAGAGTAAGAATTTCCACAATCAACAATTCCTTTCTCTCTTAAACACTTTGACCCATCTTCCATTCTTCTCTTTTATCTCTAATACCCTTGTTCTTCTGTTGACCTGACCTCTTCTCACCCCTCTGCTTCCTTCCCTGCCTTATTTCCTTTCTTCCTTTATTTAGCTACCTCTATTCTTGGAGGCACCCTAAGCCCCTAACAATGCTACTAAAAATCAATTTATAGGGACATTCAGAACACATACTCCTAATATGTCCAAATCCGATTCCCTAAGACATAAAGCAGACACTCTAAAATAGCTACACTAAGCCCAGTTTCCATAACAACACTTAATCTATGCCAACTCCAACATCCCTTACACATACAGTAGCTCCCTTCTTAGATAGCTAATAACCTAGTCATCCTATTCTCCCTTTAGTATACTGACTTTTTGTACATGGCAGTACTCTTAGACTTATGTGTTTCAGTACTATGCATATGCTCAGTTTTTCAAAGAGCAATAACAATTCAGCAAATATTTCTTAAATGCTTACTATGTGCAAAGCACTGTACTAGACACTGGGCATACAAAAAAAAAGTAAATGGCACCTGCTAGGGGAGTGAGCAAGAGAAAATACAACAAAAACACAGGTTAAGTGTGATACAAGTTGAGTAAAAGGAGCAAAGAGATCTGATTGTCTAGAAATATTTGAGGATGAAGGGAACACTAATAAAAGGGCAAATAATGGAAGTCTTTGTGAAGGACTGTTGTGATAAAATGAGATAATATTTGTAAAAAGCTTGTATTTTAAGAATTATATAAAGCTAGCTATGATGATGACAAAGGAGATGGAACCTGAGATACCTCGAATACAAAGAAACTCAAAAAAGCACAGATGAGGAGTGAGTGCATTCCAGGCATGGGGGAAAGCTCGTATAAATGTAGAGGCAGAAGAAATAATAATAGAATTTATATGGAGCTTTAAGGTTTACAAAGCTTTTTATATATTTTATCTCAAGTTAAACAGGTATAGTTCAGGTTCCAGCTGGTATTCAGATCTGGCAAGATCACAGACTGCATGAAGTGAGGAGTAATGTGAAATCAGGCAGGAAGGGTACAGAGGAGCTATACTGTGGAGGGCCCTAAAGGCCAGGCTAAAGAGTTTGTATTTTATCTTGGAAACACATGGAGTAACTAAAAGTTTTTGAGCAGAGGAATGACATGTTTAATCCTGTACCCTAGAATATTATTCTGGAAGCTTGACTGAAGAAGGGCACAGCTGAAAGGCAGGTTAACAAACAAGGAGGCTACTACAATAAATCAATGAGTAGTAAAGAGACTCAAATCTTTTAAGAAGGTGGCAGTGCAGAGAAGACTTGACAAATGATTAAGGGGGAGAGTAGAGTAAAAAATGACTCTGAGGTTTCAAACCTGAGTGACAAGGACAATGGTTGACAAAAATAGACAATTGGTGAAGGGGATAGGATCCAGGATGATAGACAGTGAACCTAGGCATAGACATACCAAGCTTAAGGTACTGGTGTGACATTTAGATATCCATCATGAAGCTGAAAATGTGGAACTAGAGGAGACAGAATAGGAGGGCTGTATATATAAATTTGGGATTCATCTACATAAAAATAATTGCTCCTATAAATATATCCAAGATCACCAATGAAAAGCATATGTTGATAAGAGAAGATGGCCCAGGACAGATTCTTGGCAGCCAAGATAATTAAGGAGGACTAGAGAACATAGTATCATAGCTTGAGAGTGGGAAGGTACCTCAAAGGTCATCTAGTCCAATTCTCCTCATTTTGTGGATAACAAAACTGAGGCCCAGCAAGGTTTAATGACTTGTACTAATAGATGATGATCCATTAAAGAAGACTAAGAAGGGAATGGCAGACAGGAAGGAGGATCAAGAGAAAGAAAAATGCCACAAAAATCAAAAAAAGAAGTAATATTTAGGAGAGACCAATGTTTTCTTGTTCTGTTGTTTCAGTTACATCTGACTCTTCTTGACCTCATTTGGGGTTTTCTTGGTAAAGATATTGGACTGGTTTGCCATTTCTTTCTCCAGCTCATTTTACAGATTTTACAGAAGCAGACAATGAGGTCTCCAGGGAAAAAATCACTATTTTATTTTTTAAGGCTAGGAGTGACTCATAGTACAACCAAATATGAAGGGTTCACCCAACTAATTCAGTCATAGAACACTTCGGGGCTCAAAATATAACCACGAGATTCATAAATTCTAATCTGGAAGACCTAGAAGGTGTGGGGAAAATTTTGGAACAAAAAAGAGGAAACTAAGCCTATTTTTACATCAAGAAACAGTAACAATATTTTACATGGAAAAACTATCATTCTGGAACATCACATTCCCATGGACAAGTTTGAGAATCACAGATGTAGGGGTAATGTTCTACTCTATCTCTGCTTTTTGGTATAATTTAACAGGACGGAACAACTCTGGCAATTAACCCCTGCCAAACATATCTACAAAAGTCTCAAACTGTATTCATTTTGGCAATACATATACTAAAACTGGCAGGTCTCATGTCCCTTGATATTTTAAAACAATCCTGCTTTATCAAGACGAAATGAACTCTGAAATTCCTTAGCACTCCCAGCCCCTGAGGATATTCCTCCCTCTGAATGGAAAGGGTGGAGTGTAGATAATGGAGAGCTCCTCTCAGACCTTCCACCATTTAAAGGGGGCACCTAGAGAATTCACCTCATCATTTTCCACTGAGCTACTTTCCTGGACTTCATGATCACCAGAAACTCATCATTTTGCAAGATGAAATCAACTCTGAAACACTCACTTCCTCAGATCATTTCTCATAGTGGCTACAGAATTTCAGCATTCATCCTCCTCCTTCTTCCCCAACCTTTTCAGCTTGTCCCTTTGAGATTGTAAGTTCCTCAAGGGCCTGTTTTATGCCTTTCTTTGTATCCTCAATGTTTAGCATAGTGTCTGACCAGTACTTAATATTTATTGATTGATTAAATGCTGAATATTTAAAAATAAAGCATACCTTCACTGTCCAAAAGTCACATGATAATAACAAGATAATTGTCACCATACAGGCAATAAAGCTGCTGCTTAGCAATTCACACAGAAGATAGACAATTATTGCACTGATTCGAAAGAATAAATGGAAAAATGATGCCACCGGGTGCCTGTAAATAAAAGCATAATGCAAAAACTATAATTACATTATCCTGTAAAGTGAGATGAAAAAGAACATTCTAAAGTTTAAAACAGAAATAATTATTTCAATCATTAAAAAGAGCAACATGATATAATTTTCTGGGCTCAAAGTAGCTAGCTTCTGTTTTAATAAACAATTCGACAAACATTTTGAAATACAGTGACAATATCTGTTTTCAGCCGTATCACAATATATGGTCTAGATCTGTAATTTCACTGGTATGAGGAATTCTGAATGAAGAAATTACCAATGCACACGAATAATTATTCTGCAAATTACAATCTTAAAAGAGTTGTCCAGGGCAGTGATCTCCAAAATGGAGCTAATACATGACTATGTGATCAACATATATAATGTGAAAGATCACATCCTCTGACCCCCACTAATGAAACAGTCAATCATCATGTGGCTTGTCTTTAACATACTCTTCCAATCTTCCCCAAGCTAGATGTTGATACCTCAGGACAACTGCTCATTCTTCCAAACTTCCCTGCTATTATTAAAGACTCCATTATCCTCTCAGGCACCCAGGTTCTCATATCCTCAGTGTCAATTTAGATTCCTTTTTTCCCTTTATCCCACATAGACATATCACTCAGTTTCCAAATCTTATTTTTACTTCCACATCTCCACCTTCTCTCTATTCACATTGCCATCATCCTAGCTTAGACCTTCATCACCTCTCACCAGGTACTCTGCCAATAGTCTTCCTCTCTTAAAAATAAATTTATTGTTTATTTTTTTATTCTGCATTCCTTAAAAAAAAATGTGAGTTCTAATTTTCTCCCTCCTGCCCCTCCTCCACCCACCAAGAAGGCAAGAAATGTGATATCAATTATACTTGTGAAATCATGCAAAACATTTTCATATTAGTCATGTTGCAAAAAAAAAAAAAAAGGCAAGAAAAATATAGACAGTGAAAAAATTATGTTTCAATCTTCATTCAGACTTCATTAGTTCTGTCTTTGGAGGTCAACAGTATTTTTCGACATAAGTCCTTTGAAATTGTCTTAGATCACTGTACTGATCAGAGTAACTAATACTTTTACAGTTGATCATCATTACAATATTGCTATTACTATGTACAATGTTCACCTGGTTCTGCTCACTTCCCTTTGCATCAGTTCATATATGTCATCCCAGGTTTTTCTGAAACCATCCTGCTCATCATTTCTTACAGCACAATAATATTCCATCATAATCATATACCACAACTTGTTCAGCAATTCCCCAATCGATAAGTATCTCCTCAATTTCCAATTCTTTGCCACCACAAAAAAGTGCTGCTATAAATATTTGTTTGTGCTTGTGTGTATACATACATATATACATATACAAACACACACAGATATATTTTTTCCCTTTCATCTCTTTGTGATACATACCTAGCAGTAGTATGCCAATAGCCTTCTAAATGTTCTCACTATCTCCAGTCTCTTTTCCTCCCCTCTCCATCATGGATAACAGCAGCCAAATTGATTTTCCTCAAGTGCAGGTCTGACCATAAATAAATTCCAGACCTTCCCTTATTGGTTCTAGGATCAAATGTTACTCCACTTTTACCTCTGTATTTTAATTATTATTTTTGTGTTTTATAATATACACATATTGGGGGAGTATATGTTCAATTTTTTTTTTTACTGATAAGGGTGCAAGGTCAGAAAAGTTTGGTCTAGAGCACTGAGAGACTGACTTGCTCACCATCACAAAAACAATATTTGTCAGAGACAGGACTTGAACCTAGATCATCTTCTTAACTCCAAAGCTGACCATCTATTATGCCACACTATCTCTCAATATGATAAAACTCTAATTTCACAGAAAATATGCCATGAAAAATTTTTTGCATAAATTATTATTTATATTCATCTAAACTACCACAAAACTCTAAGAATTAAGAATGCTATTTACCTATCTAAGAAGAAACAATTCCTAAGATTTGGGCCCTATAAACTCATAGAGAACAACTTCATAGGCCCTCAGAAGTCCTTTTAAGCTAAATCTATCAGAAATATTTTATTTCATTAAAAATATTAGACAGAATAGACCATTTTAAGGCACTGACATTTGCAAGTACAAGATTTTTATGACCCAATTTCTATATAGCTATTCTTTTCTACTTCAATCAATCAACAAGCATTTATAAGTTTTCATGTGCCTAACTGGGAACTGTGTAAGGCAATGGAAACAGAAATATAAAAATGAAGCAGTCTCTGCCCACAGGGAATACTGGGAGAATGTAACATATTTATGGAGAAGTTATTTTTGAAATACAGTAATAAAGACACTAACAACTAGATGGAAGCAGAAAATGCTTTTTGAAGGAGATACCACTTGGAATGAGCCTTGAAGGGAACTAGAGGTTCCAAAAAAATGAAGAGAAAGAGCATCTCAGGAATGGGGAACAACCAGTGCAAGAGCTGAAATACTGCTGATGAAACAAAAAACAGGTTAAATTTGGCTAGAGCAAAAAGGGAGTGAAAGGGAGTAATATATAATAGCTGGAAAGTCTCACATACTTTGCCCAAGTCTGCCCCATTCTTAAAAACCTTCATTTGACTCTAATACAGCCTCAAGCTATCATTCTTTATCTCTCCTCCCTTCCTCAGCCAAACTTCCAGAAAAAAAAAAGCTAGTTACACTCACTGTCTCTAGTTTCTCTCTGCAACCCTTTGTAATTTAGCTTCTGACCTAATCACTCAACTGAAACTACTCTCCAAAGTTATGTCTTAATAATAATTTAATGATGTCTTAATTGTTCATTTCTGTCTAATTTCCAGATCTAATGGCATTTTTTGTTAGTCCTTATCATTCTTGACTCATCTTCTGCATTTGACACTATTGATTACTCTCCTCCTTGAAAGCCTCTCCTCTCTGGGGTTTTTTTCCCTACCTTTGTGATCTCTCCATCACAATCCTTATGATACTCTATACACTCTTTCTCAAGATCACCTCATCAACTCCCACAGATTTAATTACCATATCTATGTAGACAACTCACAAATCTAAATATCTAGTCTCAGTCTCTTTCTCTTCAGATTTTCATTTTTTAAATCACCAACTGTTGCATATTAATCATTTCAAACTGAATGTCCCAGAGACATAACTCATCAGATCCAAATCAACCAATCAATAAGCATTTATTAAATACCTATTATGAGGAAAATAAGGTTAGGCCCTGGGAATACAAATACCAAAAATGAAATAATCCCTACTTATAAAGGAGCTGACATTCCAATGGGGAAATAAGTACAGGTGTAAGTATATACAAAATAATAATTCTGATAACAATAGTAGGTAACATTTATACAGTGCTTTAAGGTTTACCAAGCACTTTACACATATTTTATCCTTACAACAACCTGAGCAACAGATGCTATTATTATTCCCATTTTATAGATGAGGAAACTGAAGTACATTGAAGTTAAATGATTTTCCCAGGGTTACAGAGCTATTAAGTATACAAGGCCAGAACTGAACTCAGGGTTCCTGATTCCAAGTGGAGTTCTATCCACTATGCCACTTACCTGCCTTTAACAAAGAATAGAATTAATAGATATATAAATATATAGACTATAAAGAGAATAAATAAATACAAAGTGTTTATGGAAAGAAGGCCACAGCAGTTGTAAGGAATCAGGCAAGACTTCACATGGAAGGTAGTGCTTGTGCTGCATCTTAAAAGAGATGGATTCTATGAGGTAGAAGTGAGAAGGGATTGTATTTCCAAACATAAGGAACACCCAGTTCAAAAGAATGGAAGCAAAAGATGAAGTTCTGGATGTGAAAGAGAGAGAACGCCTATAAGTCTAGTTTTTCTCCTTCATTTTTTTTTTTTTTTAATAAACTAAGTCTCCCTATCTCACCATGCCTGGAAATTGAGCAGCTACTCACAGGCCTAACCCCAATGTTGACTGGCACAGAAACTCTGATGGGCTCCATTTCCAAACTGGAGCATCTGCCCCTCCTCAGACAGTCTGGTAACTCCCAGACTCAGTGTAAACACCTAATCAGCTTTAGCCTTACTGACGCTCAGAACTATTGAACTCAAGCCATCACTACCTTTAACCTACCATAGTAGGGATTATAGTTTGCCACCATACCTGGCACAACAATTTTTTTCTATCTCCCAGGTTTAAAACCTTGGCATTACCCTCAACTCCTCCCTACATTATCCAAACTCTTGCCAAATCTTGTCATCTCTTCTCTCTAGTCATATAGCCATCACCTAAGTTCAAGCCCTCATTACCCATCAGCTAGACTGTTGCAATGGCCTTCTAATCGTTCTCCCTACTCAAATCACATCTACTCCATCCTCCACAAACTGGCCAAAGTGATTTTCTTTAAGTGTAGAGCTAGGCATGTTAGTCCTCTACTCAATAAATTCTAGTAGCTCCCTATACCATTAGGATAAAATACAAACTCTCCTGCTTTTAAAGCCCTTCACAACCTAGTCAATACCTACCTTTCCAGCCTATTTATAAATTTCCCACATTTTTGCACACTATTGTCTAGCCAAACTGGCTTTCTCTGTGTTCATCAAACACTGCACTCCACCTCTCATCTCCATGACTTTGTTCTGGCTGTCCTCATGCCTGGAATGCACTTCTTCAACTTGACCTCAGAGACTACCTCTCTCTTCCTTCAAAAGAAAGCTCTAGCACAACCTTTACCTGAAGCTTTTCTTTTTTTCTCCAATTGCTAATGTCTGCCCACCCTCCCTCCCTACTTTGCACTGAGTTTGTATATATGTATTCGGAATGTACTTACACATATATATATATATGTGTTATCTACCCAAGATATAATCTTCTTCAAAGTAGAGTATGGCTCATTCTTTGTGTTTGAATCCCCAGTATCTAGCACACAGTAGGCATTTAATAAATGCTTACTGATTGATAGTAAGCGAATGCTGTGTTCCTGAATTTTGTAAACCAAATCATATTTAAATGCAATACTAGAACTTATTTTTGAAAAACACTGTTATGTATGTACGTATATTTATGTATGTGTATAGATGTACATGTGTGTGTATGTAAAAAATATATCCCCGCTTAATTGTACCTTCTTGGGGAGGTGGAGGAAAAGGGGAGAAAGACAAAGTAAAAAGTGTAAAGTAGAGAGCAAAAGAAAACTTACAAGGAAGCAAAGAAAAGATGGACAGCTCTGAACACAATGCATAGTATATATTATACAGACTTTCTTGAAATGGAAATATGTTTCTGTATATTTTGAATCCTCTCATGTTCTACTGGCACATGGCAATACTTTATTTTTCTTCTCTTATTTTGTATTTAAGTTTATGTTTCTTTTTCTTTTCTTATTGCGTATTTAAGTTTAAAGTAAATTAATTAAAAACACTTTTGAGGAGGGATAGGATAAAAGAAGAGCGAGAATAAAATAAACAGGGATAATAGGATGGAGATAAATACAGTTAGCAATCATAACTGTGAAAAAATGCAGCAAGTTTCTCTAATAAAGACCTCATTTCTCAAATATAAAGAGAACTGAGTAAAATTTATAAAAAATATAAACCATCCTCCAATTGATAAATGGTCAAAGGATATGAACAGGCAATTTTCAGATAAAGAAATCAAAGCTATCTATAGCCATATGAAAAAAATGCTCTAAATCACTACTGATTGGTGAAATGTAAATTAAAATAATTCTGAGGTACAACCTCACACCTTGACTAATATGACAGAAAAGAAAAATGATAAATGCTTCAGAGGATGTGGGAAAATCAGGGTACTAATGCACTGTTGGTGGAATTTTGAACAGATTTAACCATTCTGCAGAGCAATTTAGAACCATGACCAAAAGGCTATAAAACTACGCATATCCTTTGACCCAGCAATACCACCACTAGGTCTAGATCCCAAAGAGATTAAAAAAAAAACAAAAACAACAACAAAGAGAAAAAGACTCTGTATGTACACAAATATTTATAGAAGCTCTTTTCTGATGGCAAAGAATTGGAAATTAAGGGAATGCTCATCAATAGGGGAATGGCTGAACAAGTTGTGGTATTTGATTGTGATGGGACACTACAGTGCTATAAGGAATGATGAGCAGAATGCTCTCAGAAAAACCTGAAAAATGTACATGAAGTGATACAAGAAATGAGCAGAACTAGGAGTACACTGCACACAGTATCAGCAATACTGTATGATGATCAACTGTGAATGACCTAGCTATCCACAGCAATACAATAATCCAAGACAACTCTGAAGCACTTATGAAAAATGCTATCGATCCCCAGAGAAAGAACTGATGGAGTCCGAATATAAAGTGAAACATGCTTTTTTACAGCTTTCTTAATTTATCCTTTCCTTTTTTGTCTGTTATCTTTCACAACATGACAAATATAAAAATGTTTGTCTGACTACACTGTATAACCTGTATCAAATTGCTTGCCTTCTCAATGAGGGGGGAGGGAAAGGAGATTGTAACTCAAAATGTTAAAAATTGTTTTTACATGTAATTGGGAAAAATAAAATACTTAATAATTAAAAAAAAACACTATGGTAATTTGTTAAAGGGGGAAAATATTGAGCACATAATTGGCATTCAGTAAGGAGAATTATAAAAGTATAGCATGTTAGAGCTACAAAAGACCTTTAAATTCGTTTAGTCCAATTCATTTTACAGATGTAGAAAAAACTATGGCCTCTAGGGTTTCTTCCAGCTCTATGATTCTAAGCTCCTGAGAGCCAGAAAAGTAAATGATTTGCCCAAGGTCACACAGATAGTAAAGGCTGAAACTAAGGCTTCCTGATTATTAGTCAAGTATGTTTTATGCTACAATGAACCTTGACTGATCATTCCATGAATCAGGGACAGAGATTTGGGCACTCCCTCCACATTCACCAATGGTGATCAAAATCCATCCATACTTTCTCATCCAATGCAATCTGTTATTCTTTTATACAGTCAAATCATTTCCTAATTTGTTTATAAATCGAGATTTTTATATACCTGATTTGCTCAGAAAATTTAAAGTGACATTTCCACCAATCCCACAATATAAAGATTTACAAACTAAAGGTAATACAAAGAAGTATATTTTTAAGTTTAATGCACATTATTTTTAAATATTTATTTTTAGATTTAAACATTCACTTTTATAAGATTTTGAGTTTTAAATTTTCTCCCCCTACTCTCCCACACTCCTCCCCAAGATGGTGTGCAATCTGATAAAGGCTATACATGTACAATCATATTAAACATATTTCCACATCAGTCATATTGTAAAGAAGAATTAGAACCAAAGGGAAAAACTGCGAGAAAGAAAAAAAAATTTAAAAAGAGAGAGAAAATAGTATGCTTCAATCTGCATTTAGACTCCATAGTACTTTCTCTGGATGTGGATAGCATTTTCTGTCTTGTGGAATTGTCTTAGATCACTGCACTGCTGAGAAGAGCCTAGTCTATCAAAGTTTGTCATCATACAATGTTACTGTTACTATGTACAATGTTTTCCTGGTTCTGCTCATTTCACTCAGTATCAGTTCATGCAAGTCTTTCCAGGTTTTTCTGAAGTCTGCCTGCTCATCATTTCTTATGGAACAATAGTATTCCATTACATTCATATGCCACAATTTGTTCAGCCATTCCCCAATCGATGGGTATCCTCTCAATTTCCAATTCTTAGCCACCACATAAAGAGGTGCCATAAATATTTTCGTACATGTGGGTCCTTTTCCCACTTTTATGATCTCTATGGGATACAGACCTAGAAATGGTATTGCTGGGTCAAAGGGTATGCACAGTTTTACAGTCCTTTAGGCATAGTTCCAAATTGCTCTCCAGGATGGTTGGATCAGTTCACAACTCTACCAACAATGTTCCAATTTTCCCATATCATCTCCAACATTTATCATTTTCCTGTTTTGTCACATTAGCCAATCTGATAGGTGTGAGGTGGTACCTCAGAGTTTTAATTTACATTTCTCTAATTAATAGTGATTTAGGGCATTTTTTCAGATGACTATAGATGGTTTAATTTCTTCATCTGAAAACTGTCTGTTCATATTCATATTGAGGAATCACTTGTATTCTTATAAATTTGGTTCAGTTCTCTACATATTTTGGAAATGAGGCCTACAAAGAAGTATAATGCAATCATCCTTACCCAACCTCAATGCAACAGTGTACTTAACTACAGGACAGAACTTCCCAAGACACCAACATCATACAAGTATATCCATACCTGATTTTCACCTTCCTTGGCTTTCTGGCTGACTCATCATCACTGGCATCAAACAGTGAAACATCTTCAGTGTCATCATTACTATCCTAAAAGGCAAATGGTCTAATTCAAGATGCAATGCAACAAAATCAGAATCAAAATTAAACCTTCTCAATACACTAATACAGATGAGACAAAATAAATAAATGAAGCTGACTACCAATTGAACCACACCTAATTAGTTTTAGGAAGACAAATAAGAAAAGCCTTGGGGGTATGGATTTCTCAAATGGCTGTAATAGTCTCCATGACATATTTTGGGGCAGCTAGGTGGCACCACGAATATAGCACCAGGTCTGAAGTCAGGAAGACTCATCTTCCAGAGTTCAAATCTGGCCTCAGACACTTACTAGCTATTTGACCCTGGACAAGTCACTTAATCCTGTTTGCCTCAGTTTTCTCATCTGTAAAATGAGCTGGGGAAGGAAATGGCAAATGACTCCAGTATCTTTGCCAAGAAAACTGCAAATGGGGTCGCAAAGAGTTGGACACAACTGAAAAAGAACTGAACAACAATGATATATTTTGGTCCTCTTTCTCTTGATATCACTGCCTCAGAGAGAACAGGGAAGACATGGATTATCACAGGATCACAGATTTACAGCATTGGAGGCCAGCTTCCTTTCACAGATGAAGAAATAAGGCTGAGGCAAGTTAAGTGACTTGCCTAGGGTCACACTGCTGGGTCTGAGGCAGGATTTGAACTCAGGTTTTTCTGACTCCAAGTCCAGCACTCTACCCACTGCAACACCTAGCTATAAAATAGAGTGAACCAAGGTATGTGTCCAATACCACTAGTGATCCCAAGAGTTAAGGAAGATCCATCAGATTACCCCAGTTAACATGTCAATAGTCTCCCTGCCTTCAAGAAAGAAAATAAGAAACAAGTCAAATTTAGGGGCATTGTTGTTTTTCCCCCCCTAGAAAAATAAATTTTATTCAAAGGTAATAATGCACATTATGTTATAGGCTGCTTGGTCATTTGACATTGCAATAATCATGATGAGCATAAGCAAAAAGAACATCACCAAAACAATTTCAGCTTACAAGGATGAGAAAGCAGAGAAATGTTGCTGCTGCCTCTCTCCCAAAAACTTTCAATTAGATCCTCAAAATTAAATCAATATTTGTTTTAATAGTATTAACTGCACTGAATGGGCACATTGCGGGAGTGGACACAGGGAAAAAACAGTGAAAAGTGAAAAAGTGACATAAGATATTGCTCATGACTAAGAAAAAAAAAAACAAAGCGTTGTAGATTACATAGAAGTACCAATCCACAGATGAGTACATTCTTCAAGGACAAAACCAAGGGATGCTAGAAATAGTGAGCAATAAATAACATCACACAAAAAAAAAGAATTAACTATATCTTAAAGCATTTCTAAGTCAATTATCTACATCAGGGTGGGGAACCTGAGGTCTTTTATTAAAGGAATTTGTTCTATGAAGTTTAGATTTAGTCAAAGAGCTGTATTTGAGGACCTAGAGGGCCACATGTGACCTTGAGGTTGCAGGTTTCCCACCCAATATAGATAGAATAGAATTGTTTTTGGGTTCACAGGAATAATTTAAGAGTAATCAAATTTTCCTGCTCCTATTATTTCCTACATTAAAGAGCAACTAACTGCTTTCTGAATAATTGATTTTTGTGGTAAACTAGCCCCGACCGCAGAAAGGAATGACCAGATCATGCACAAAGCTTATGTATCTTATTGCGATTCACTAAAGTATATTCTTTATAGGCAGTAAGGTTTCAGGGGACTGAAGATAGTGATGCTTTGGTTCCTCAGGTATGAAGCTCAAATTGAGTCTTCACTAGTTATTTGTGATATATGGCAGGGCCTTTGGTCTTAGATCAGCTCATGAGGGGTATGGAGCTGACAGATCCCCAAATGGCTGATGGTTACAATGCCATCAATACATCTTATGGGCAAAATGTCTTTACGGCAGCACCAAAGAGAGCTCACCAGTTTTTTCTTTGTATCAAGAAAAGGTCCTTTCTCCGATACATGTTAATTTTGTATCAATTTTCCAATTCCAAAAAACACTTCAACAGTGATTGGTTAAATGGAATGACAATTATGAAAGTATTGGTGAAATTATAATTTTTGGAGCTAGGGAACGATCTCAGCATTTTAAGGCTAGTAAAGTAAAATAATAGAAAACATTAAATTGTATATGTAAGCATGAAAATAAACAATGAATACAACTCCGTAGTGTAAGAAATTTTCTTTACTTCTCAATAACTTGGCCACAATTATCAAGGAAAATGGCCTAAGACAACCTTTCCTTGCTTAAGATGCTTAAGTTTTCCCTCGATACTTTTTTTTTAAGAAAATGATACTTTTTTTTTTTAAAAAAGCATTCACAAAGGAATTTGTATTTTACAAAAATCCTAAATAGCAGTTATATCCTTACAGACATTATGAAAAGGTGTATAACAACTACAAACCAGATAATTACTGTAAAATACAGATTCAAAGTTAAGCTAGCCCTGCCACAGACTAGTTAGAACAAAAATCAAAATCAATGTTGTGTAATCAAAAGTTATTCAAAAAATTAACAGAAAGTAGGAAATGGATAAAAGAATAAAAATTTACATAAACTACCAACATTTCCTATGTTAATTTAACAGATAAAAAGCTATTATCATCGGGAGGCCAAAAGAGCCTAGAAATTGACTAAATACAGTAAACACATAATTTCTTTACCATATAGAGGCATGATAGCAAAAGACTTGATTATCAACTCATTTGTGTTGATTACAATCACCTAATAAAAGTGAGGAGGGATGAAAGGAAAAATCAATTTATAGAAAGGCATAAAACGCATTAAGCTAGATAATTCATTTTCTCATATAGTGCTTTGTAATTTTTATCCATATAAATTCATTATCTTTTCTATAAGCTTAAGGACTGGGAAAGTATCTTTCCACATGCCTCTCACAGCTTAGTACAGTACACATACAAGAATGGCTCTTGAGTGTTTCTTAAAGGAATCTAGCTGACCTTTGATAAAGTGATCTTTAGAGGTAAAACAATAATTCAATAAAGCAGATGTGTCAGTTGAACTGGTTGCCTCCAAGCATAATTTACCAACTATACTCTTTAATTCTTAGTTTCTCTCTTTCCTAACCTTTTGACAAAATATCTATAATCCAAATAAAAGAGCATAAAAGACCTGCTGTCTTCAAGAGGTTCCTCAACTCCAAAACATTTGGAATAAACATACATATGTCTATACCCCTCCATTAATATTCTATTCCAATACAGAGGCACCCCTAGGCTTTCAGAATACAATCAATGACAGGTCCTAACAAGCTGGAAAATTAATGAGTATAGCCTCAGAAACACTGCCATTCAAGGAACAGTAAAACTTGTTAAAAGAAGAATGACCATAGAAATTTAGAAAAACATGCACTAAAATGTGGAAGGATTACCATCTGCCTCCATGGAAGAATGACCACATTGCAGGAAAAAACTGAAAACAAAGTAGGTGCCTATTAAGTGGTAAATAGCATAGTAAAAAATTGGCATATGAATGTAAAAGAATATTATTGCACCATTAAAGATGACAAATATGAGGAATTAGACTTCTAAGAATGAGAAAACAAGTTATGCAATGTGAACAATAATATCAAAGGAAAACAAAACAAAGTTGGCATTCAAATTAATGTAAAGACCCATCAGTTACAGAGGACTAATGTTTAAATATATTTCCCTCCTTTCAGAAAAATTAAAAAAAACAAACTGTGGACTACTAGTATAGAACACTGTATATGCTCTCAGGAATGGCAGATAAGTATTTAATTGGGGAAGTAATAGTGATGTAAAAAAAAGTCTTCAGCAAACCATCAAGAATGAACTTTTTTAATGTGCCTACATTGATAAAATGGTGGATCTTAAAATTCCAAAGAATGAGACTATGTCTTTATTTCTCTTAAATGTGCTTTAAAATACCTAGCACCGAAGTATTCTGGCAGTCAGGAAGACAGGTGGCTGTGTAGTAAAGGCAAAGTGCTCAAGCAATTCTATATTCCAAGAGTAGGTGTCAATTCTGCATTGACAGGGTATCCTCATATAAGGAATTCCCTATGTCAAAGAAGTCATAGACCTAATCGAATAATGATGATAATTTTAAGTACTTGGCATTTTTGTGCATATCTATAGTTTAGTATCTAAACAACTTAAAAATGAATGAATCGAGATCTGCTGTTGCTACAGTCTTTCACTTCAAAACTGCCACAGAAAAGCTATAACTAAACAAAAGGACATAAACATAAGTAGGGTAATTAACCACAAATCACTACATAAAAGTTAACTGCTTAGAAAAAAATGCTATTTCTTAGGAAAATAAAATGTCAAATGTAATGCTGTAGTAAGCTAACATTAGCAATTTACCTGGAACTAATTTGAGTGGGATGGACCATCCTTCCCCACATGTTACATGTAACATGCATGTTACAAATAAGCTTTGGTCTTTCATATCCTTAAAAACCATCCCTTTGATACTAATGGCCCCTGAAGCTAACATTCCCTATCTCCCTTTACTACTAATCTTCTAAATCAGAGGTTCTTAACATGAGGTGTGGACTTTCAAAATATTTTGTCAACCACATTTTAATAATGTTTCCTGGTTTCCTTTGAGATCCTAACTTATGCATTTAAAAACATTATTCTGATAAGAATCCTTAGGTTTCACCATTCTGTCAAAGGAATTCATGAAGGAAAAAAAGGTTAAGAAATCTGTCTCACCAGAACTACTGTAACTGCCTTCCTGTTTCTCTCTCCAAACTACTCTTTACCCAGCTACCAAAATAATCTTCCTACTCCCTCCTCAACTTGCATATGAAATCCATTTGCAACAAAGTCCAGTTAAAAGACTATATCCACCTGGAAGCCCTCTCGAATATACCAGCTAAAAAACTTTCTACTTCAATTTTCCTCCTGAGCAATGTATCAGGAACTCTCCTTTACTAGCATAATAGTCTATCCTGTATCACATTTATCTGTGTACATGATTTGTCCTCCCTCCCACTGGATTGTAAGGACAGAGGCTCTTTCATTTTTCCATCTCTATACCTTCCATCCCCAGTACCTTGATTTACAGGTGCTTTCTTATGAATATTATAATAAATAAATGCTTGCTGAAATTAACTGAACTATGTAGCTCTTAGAATTCAATTAAATCTAATCTAATTCTACAGATCAGGCAACTAAAACCTCTATTTTAAAAATATGAGAAGCAACACAGTACAGTGGGCATTCCCTATCGGGAAGGTACCTTTAGCAATTAAAACACAGGCCCAGTACCTATCCCTAATTTAGCTAATAAAAATGTATCAGTGTTTTAAAGTACAATTGCTGGAACTACATTGTTTTTTCAAAAGCACAACAATGCCTTCGCCAAATGAACTAGGCTCCGAGGTCAAATTCTGACCCCCAGCAAGTCACTAAAGCTCTCTAGTCCCGTTTCTTCATCTGTGAGATGAAGTTGCAATACATTTAATAAGAGGTCCGTTCCAACTATAAATTTCTGAAAGCGCTTTAAGGATACATAGATATAAAAAATAAACCATCGTTGTCATCAAAACCCGGGAAAGGACTGCCAAATAAAAAAAAAAAGTTGGATTTCAAGGAACCCTTACTGAATACGAAGTAGAAATTAGTCCTCTCACTGCACACCTTCACTTCAAGGACCCCAGGATTTCCTCTGCTTCCTTGAGACAGTATCACTACAACCCCGTGGCCACCACTTGCACCATTTGCTGTGACCCCAGTCCTAACTCTAACCGTATAATCAACTCTACAGAATAACTCGTACAACTCTCACCTGACGCAACATGGCCGCTCTCGCCTAGCCAAGCCACTTCCGGACAGAGACAACGTCAACATGAGCGCTACCTCACTGCCGGCCGCGTACGCACGCCCTCACGTCAAGCTGCCACGTCCCAGCGCGCCGTAGGGGAGTGCGCGAGAAGTGTGCGCAGTGTTAGAGAGCTGGTGGGTGTAAGCGGCAGAGGGAGAAGGAACGGGGCAGGGCAAAGCTCTGGAGGAAGGCTTGGGAGAAGCGGCACTTGGGAAGGGGTGGCTGGTGAGCCGGGCTGGGGGAATTGGGCACTGAGTGCTGGGCCTGGAGTCAGGAAGATTCATCATTTTGAATCCAAATCTGGTCTTAGACACATACTAGCTGTGTGACCCTGGGCGAGTCCCTTAACCAGGTTTGCCTCAGTTCCTTATCTGTAAAATGAGCTGCAGAGGGAAATAGCAAAACACTCCAGCGTCTCTGCCAGGAAACTCTACGTGAAAAGTCAGACACGACTGAAAAATAACAATCACCCCCTTAGTGGAGGAATTAGAGGACCCCAGAATAGGGCTGGTTTTAGAATTAGAATTTATGGGACAAGAATTTAATGGACTGTGCTGTAAGAAGTAATGTGAATACGGAGAAGCGTGGAAAAAGCTTACGTGAATTGATGCAGAGTGAAGTAAGCAAAAACTAGAAAACAGTATACGTAATGACTACAACAATGTAAATGTAAAGAACACACATACCAAATCGAAAGTGAATGTAGCAAAATTATAAAGAGGCCCACATATCTTGAAAAGAAGAGATGAGAAGACACCCCCAACCTGGCTTTCCAGAAGGGGGAGGGGAAGGGATATTGAGGAAAACTAAGGTGATGTAAAAAACAAAAGACATAAATAAAAATTCATTTTAAAAAATATGAAAAACCACAAGGAAAAAAGCATCAATTTTGAAGCTAATTAAAAATACTAAAAGTGAGTTGGTACTTAAACTGGATAAGTTACTTCTTTATTAAGTAGGTATTTTTTGAGGATGCCTAAGTGGCGTGTGTGTGTGTGTGTGTGTGTGTGTGTGTGTGTGTGTGTGTGTACATACATGAATGCATGCTATATGGTACCCAGGGCAGCTAGGTGGCACAGTAGATAGAGTGCCAACCCTGGCATCAGGAAGACCTGAGTACAAATCCACCCTCAGACACTAACAGTGTGATCCTGGACAAGTCACTTAACCCTGTTTGCCTCAGTTTCCTCACAGTAGAGTGAGCTGGAGAAGGCAAACCACACTAGTAACTTTGCCAAGAAAACCCCAGAAAGGAGTCATAAAGAGTGGGACATGATTGAAAATGACCAAAGCAGGTGCTATAAATGAATGAAAAAAATTTCAGAGTTTACTATTACACTGCTAGTTAATTTATGGAGTTATTAGTTGAATAAGGATATGGGATCACAAGGTGTTTTCTCTGGGTCAAGTGGAGGTGGGCTTGCCCAGTTTTTTGAGTCCTTCCTGGGAAAGACCATGATGCCAACAGGGATTAATGTTTCAGTCACATTTGTAAGGCACAAAAAGTACAAAGAGAAATGATGGGGGGGTGTGGCGGGGAGGCAGGATATAAAGCCAGATAGTGGGGGTTAGGGGTAGAGGGATACAGGCAACATGGGGAAGAGAATGGGGAGGGGGAGCACACAGCTTGGTACCCATGGATTGGAGTTGGGAGCAGTGGAATAGAATGAACCCTTAGAAAATGGAAGAGTACTCAGGGTAGGAGTTCGGGTCTCATTTTTTAGGGTTTTGTTAGAAGACAGACTAATTGTTATCTGTGCCAACTTGAGGTTAGTTACTTAACATAACTGCATCATCTCAAAGTTAGGGGGTTTTGCTGGTGTCCTGCAGATTTATGGAACACATCTAAGGCTTACAGACCTTAGATGGGCAATTAGCAGAACTTTTCCCTTATGGTAAGACCGAGCTAGCATACCTGATTTAGGACATAGTCTCAGAATGTGGTTTTTGGTTATTTTATGAGAGTTTACAAGTATCTGTTATGCTCCTTTGATCTACAGGACAGTCTGTAAGTGACTTCAAGGTTCCCCTTTGCAGTCTTACACGTAGAAAATGGGACACATTCCCTGATCTCAAAGAGCTTAAATTCTAATATAGGAATATATTCTAATAATAGAATATAAGAATATTATATTTTAATAGAATATAAGAATATAAGTCAGATAGAAAGGCTGTATGGTCCTTAGTGTACAGAGGCAAAGCATATGGTAATGAATGTTCTTGATGTGATATCCAGTGATAAAAATCTATTATCTGATGTTGAACTATTTGTCAGTGGCAAGAACTTTTGTTTTTTTGTATTTAAAGTGGCTATGGCTGCTGAAGAGACGGGCTGCAGCACCGACGAAAGCAGTTGCCATTTTTTATCTCCACAAGGGTTGCTGAGGAGGCTAGTCTGGAAGCAAGGTGAGTTTGGAGATTAAGAGCTATCTGGGGAGAGGAAGAGAGGGAGGGGGAGAAAGAAAGAAAGGAAAGGAAAAGAAGGAAGCAAATAAACAGCTATTCCTAGGCTTCTTAGTCTTCCCTCAATTGAGGGAATTTAGGTTGGTGACAGTTGGTCAGTGTTGGTGAGGATGGTAAGCCCCTTTTCCACCGAAGATGCCCCCCTCCCCGCTTAGTGCTGGTCGTGGAGGCTGAGGAGTGTTCCTGTTCCCATGACTCGTGGCTTTAACCTGTCACTAAAAGTTGGTCAGTAATTTGTGTTAGTAGTCACAAGGATGGTGAGCTTCTTCACAGGGGTTACTTCTTTTGATTAGGGCTGTGGTGTCCAGGAATGGAATGGAATAAACATTTATGTAGCACCTATGTAGCAGGCACTGTGCTAAGCACTTTTTTTTTTTAAGGCAATTGGGATTAAGTGACTTGGCCAGGGTCATACAGCTAGTAAGTGTCAAGTGTTTGGTCTGAGGTCGGATTTGAACTCAGGTCCTCCTGACTTCAGGGCTGGTACTATATCCACTGCGCCACTTAGCTGCCCCTGTGCTAAGCACTTTTAACAAGTATCTCATTTGATCCTCACAACAATCCTCAGAAGGAGTTTCTATTATCCCTATCCCTGTTTCACAGTTGAAGAAACTGGGACAAACACAGGTTAAATGACTTGCTCAGAATCGCAAAGCTAGTAAGTGTCTGAGGCCAAATTTGAACTCAGGTTTTCCTGACTTAAAGTCTGGTGCTCTATTCATTGTAACACCTAGCTGCCATCACTGCCTCTAAGTGGATTCTATCTGGCGTAGCATTGCATTGTTAGTGTCAAGTGCTGGCCTATACAGGGTTTGAGAGGTTTAGGTGGCGGTAGTAGTTTAACGAGCCTGATACATGGTACCTCCTCTCTCTCCCTTTTTTTGAAAATTTATTTAGTATTTTATTTTTTCTCAGTTATGTGTAAAAATGATTTTTAACATTCATTTTTTAAAACTTTAAATTCCAAATTCTCTCTCTTCTTCTCTATCCCTCCTCATTGAGAAGGCAAGCAATTCAATATAGGTTATACATGTGTAGTCATGTGAAACATTTCCACATTGGTCATGTTGTGAAAGAAAACATAGACCAAAACAAAAAAACCTTAAGAAAAATAAAGTTAAAAAGTATGCTTCGATCTGTATTAGACACTATCAGTTCCCTCTCTCAGAATGGATAGATAGCATTTCTCATCATAAGTCCCTCAGAATTGTTTTGGATCATTGCACTCCTGGGAATAGGCAAGTCATTCACAGCTGATGATCTTACGATATTGCTGTTACTTTGTACAAAGTACATTTCACTTTGCATCAGCTCGTGTAAGTCTTTCCAGGTTTTTCTGAGAGCATTCTGTTTATCATTTTTCATAGCAAAATAGTATGCCATTATAATCACAATGTCACAGTTTGTTCAGCCATTCCCCAACTGATGGTTTTCCCCTAAATTTCCACTTCTATGCCACCAGAAAAGAGCTGCTATAAATATTTTTGTACATATAGATCCTTTTCCTTTTTGTTTTTGTTTTTTTCTTTTTTGGGATGAAGACCTAGTAGTGGTATTGCTAGGTCAAAGGGTATGCACAGTTTTATAGCCATTTAGACATAGTTCCAAATTGTACTACAAAATAATTGAATCAGTTCACAGCTCTACCAACAGTGCATTAATGTCTCATTTTTCCCACATCCCCTCCAATATTTCTCGATTTCCTTTTCTGTTGTTATTAGTCAATCTAATAAATATAAGGTAGTACTCAGAATTGTTTTGATTTGTATTTCTCCAGTCAATAGTGAGTTAGAGCATTTTTTTCATATGGCTATAGGAACAAGTAACTGCTCACACTTCATCTGAAAACTGTTTGTGTCTTTTGATCACTTATTGATTGGGGAATTCTCTTATTTTTATAAATTTGGCTCATTTCTCTATATATTTGAGAAATTAGGCCTTTATCAGAGAAACTTTCTTCAAAATTTTTTTTCCACAGTTATAATTACTAACTGTAAAACTTTCCCTCCGTCCTATTTCCCCCATTTATTCCATTCTCTCTCTCTCCTTTCACCCTATCCCTCCTCAAAAATGTTTTGCTTCTGACTACTTGACTACCCCTTTCCCAATCTGCTCTCCCTTCTATCCCCCTCCCTTTCTCTTATTCCCTTCCACTCCTACTTTCCTGTAGGGTAAGATAGATTTCTATACCCAATTGAGTGTGTTATGTTATTCCCTCATTGAACCAGTTCTGATGAGAGTAAGGTTCATTCACTCCCCCTCACCTCTCCCCTCTTCCTCTCCACAGTAAAAGCTTTTTCTTGCCTCTTTCATGTGAGATAATTTACCCCATTTTACCTCTCTCTTTCCCTTTCTCCCAGTACATTCCACTTTCACTCATTAACTTTATTTTTTTAGATATCATCCCTTCATATTCAACTTATACCTGTGCCCTCTGTCTATATATACTCCTTCTGACTGTCCTAATAATGAGAAAGTTCTTATGAGTTACAAATATCATCTTCCCATGTAGGAGTGTAAGCAGTTTAAACTTATTAAGTCCCTTATGATTTCCCTTTCCTGTTTACCTTTTTATGCTTCTCTTGAGTCTTGTATTTGAAAGTTAGATTTTCTATTTAGCTCTGGTCTTTTCATCAAGAATGCTTGAAAGTTCTCTATTTCATTGAATGTCCATTTTTTCCCCTGAAGGCTTATACTCAGTTTTGCTGGGTAGTTGATTCTTGGTTGTAAGGAATATCATATTCCAAGCCCTCTAATCCTTTAATGTAGAAGCTGCTAAATCTTGTGTTATCCTGATTGTGTTTCCACAATACTTGAATTGTTTTTTTCTGGCTACTTGTTATATTTTCTCCTTGACCTAGGAACTCTGGAGTTTGGCTATAATATTCCTGTCAGTTTTTATTTTAGGATCTCTTTCAGGAGGTGGTCAGTGGATTCTTTCAATTTCTATTTTACCCTCTGGTTCTAGAATATCAGGGCAGTTTTCCTTGATAATTTCTCATTCTAATGTAGTTAAAATTTACCTTCAGCAACCTTCTTGTTGTTACCTCTCTTCTTTTGGTGTTCCCTTCTTGTAGGCTCCCTTCTTGTCCCATATATTTACCAACGCAGGGGGAGGGGGCCAGGGGACCCTGTTGTCTCAAGGCCACATGTGGTCCTCAAGTGTGGCCCTTTGACTGAATCTAAACTTCACCTAGCTATCCTAGCCTAGTGTATAGCGCCCCATTAATCAGGGCACTGTGCTTCAGGCCTTCCTTTCAAACATCTGGTAAAAACAGCACTAACTGAGCTAAGGTTTTAATGTCTGATAATGTTACCCCTCAGAAATAGTAAATAACAGAGGTGTTCATATGCAGCTGGGCATTCATTCTGGCTATAGGGATGGACATAAGCATTGGCATCTTGCTAAGGATATGTGTTGTATTTTGCTCTGACAAGAGAGGCAGCAACTTTGTAGAAGATTGGCCATTGAGTGGCTTGAAGGACAAATTTTCAGAATTGGTCATATAGAAAAAGAGATGCAAAAGCTCACTGAAGAAAATAAGTCATTAAAAATTAGAATGGAGCAAATGGAAACTAATGACTTTATGAGAAATCAAGAAACAGTAAACAAAATCAAAAGAATGAAAATATAGAAGACAATGTGAAATATGTCATTGGAAGAAGAATTGACCTGGAAAATAGATCCAGGAGAGGTAATTTAAAAATTATTGGACTACTTGAAAGCCTTGATCAAAAAAAGAGCCTCGACATCATCTTTCAATTTACTTCTTTAATAGGTCATAAGAGGATTGAAGAAAAAGATTCCATTTCTTTGTTAGACTCTTATTGGCTCCCTTTCACTAGGGCTTTAACCCTATTTACCGTATCCCAAGTAGCAACAGTCTCCAGTGAGCATATGGCAATGGTACTCTAGATGAACCTGAGTCCCTGGCTTCTACCTTCTATCACTGTGTTTCTTCCTGAGCACAGGTCTGCAACTAGCAATTTTGAAAAATAAACATTTTCTAGCCTTGGTGGGTATTTTTAGAGTTTAAGAGTTCCTAGCCCCTAAGTTTGCTGACAGTCTATTGTGAGGTAATTCCTGTAACAGTATATTCCTGCAGAATGCTGCAGCTGAAAGGACTAAGAAAGCCCAGGACATTTTCTGGCTGACCGTGATCTTAACCTTAGGAGTTGCTCAGGCAGCATAGGTCTGAGGTGAAAGTAAAATGTCTTCCTACAAAGTACCCTTATCTTTTTGGAGAAAATAGTGTTGATGATGGGTTGTTGTTTTATACTTTAACTAATCACTAATGCAGTCTTCTGAGTTTAAGCATTTCTTTTGTGTTGGAGAAAATAAACCCTTTACCTGATATGTAACCATTTTGCACATTGAATACTTTTTCTGAAAAGTGACACTTTTTATCCCTTTGGGGAAAACCTTAGTTATGAACCATAACTTAACTTAAGAGTCCTAGAGCCCTGGAATGGACACTTCTCATACCGAGGAAAGAGGCTAACTCTTCTCTTTGAGTTCCAGGCTTTTTCCCCATATTTATACCTGGTTCATACACATCTAGATCAAGAGCCCCTTGGGAGAAGAAGTCCCTGGGGCCAAAGGTAACATCTAATTTTTGCATGTTAAGAAGTGATAATAATAAAAGGAATTTCAGGAACCAAATCCAAATGATCACTGTATTTGGAGTGAGAAGACTTGGGTTTGAATCCCAGATTTCCCATGTGTGACATTGGTAATCCCTATTCATACATCTAGGCCTCAGTTTTTTCATCTGTAAAAAGGCAGGGTTGGACCAGATGATCTTAGTTCTTAATTTAAGATGCTGTGATCCCTTAGAGAAATGGGTGGGTGAGGGGGTGGTAGATGGCTAGAATTTCCCCACTTCAAAAGACTAATTACCATGTAAAAGGCCCAAACAACAAAAGCTCAAATAATGATAGCAATTTAATTTTATGTTTATTTTAAAGATAAGATGCTTTTTTTTGTGGCCAACATTCAGATAAATGTATTATGTCCAAATTCAGGGGCTGCTATTTTCCCTTTCTTCATGAAGTCATCTATAGACAGACCTTTGATCTTCCTGAGCCAGGCTACTTTGCTTGCTTTATCAGGATTGGCTGTTCTAATGGGTTTCACATTCTTATACTCCACCATTTTGGCTTCATTGTATTCCTTCTTTTGTTTCATTGTCAGGAGCACGAACCCAGTATTGACCCGATAGGGATTGGCCGTCACAGCGTATGTGGGTGGCTTCACCTGGAGATAGGAGGACTCTGCTGTGCTTCGAATTATCATACGATTAGGTTTGATGATATTGGTGCTAGTCAGGTTGCCTGTCTTTGTGTGTGCTCTTTCTTCTCCATCCTTCAAGGTTTCACAGGACTTAGGACAGACAGTCATGGGCTGTGGGATGTGAGAACATACCTTAGAGCTGTGTAAGGACTTCTTTAAGTTGGGCTGCAATTTTTGGATTTCAAATGGGGTGCTACTTCTTTTAAAACTTGGACCAATACTAGCAGATTTCAACTTCTTGATTTGAGCAGCCTGTTCAGCCCTTCCTGGTAGGAGTGACATATCTTTTAAGTCCAGAAAGTTATTTGAAGTTTCCTGCTGTAGGACTGCAGGTCCCCAAGCATCACGGACATTGGCTTTTGGGATACGGAGACGGTCAGTATTACTTGCTGTGTGAGTCTGCTGCAGGGAGCTTACAGTCAGAAGGAGCTGGTCAGGTGAGAGAGGCAATTGTAAGCCCTGTTTCTTTATTCGCTGGAGAGCTGCTTCTGAAGTTTCAACAGTTACAGGTCGATGGATTTGAAAGATATCACCTGTTTTCCCAAAAGGTGAAATGAAGAAAAAAGAACTTCATGATTACACGAAAAAGTCATATATTTGAAAGTCATTTGTGTTTGTGTACAGTCGTGAGATTACATAACAATAGCAGATCAGGGTAAGGGGTATTCAAAATGCTCGCTGTCTTGGGGTGGGGGGAGGGGAGAGAGGAGAAGAAAATTTGGAACTAAGATTTTGTGGAATTCAATGTTGAAAACTAAAGATAAGTAAGTTAATTTTAAAAAAAAGAAAAAGAATATAGATACATATTTACCAGAAAGAAAGAAAAAAAAAAAGGAAGAGCAGGAGAACCAGAGAACACTGTAACTTGACCAAGAGGGGTATGAAATGCTAATTAAACCTAGTAGGGTCTCTGTTTTACCATTTGAATGGATCTAAAGCTAGAGGAAGGAGTGGGGAGATACTGAATGAAACCAGAACTTGGTAAGCAAATGGAAGCTTCAGTTTTGACACCTGAAATGATGCTCGAGCACAGGCTGGCTCATTTTAGAGTAATGTGAACTGAGTCCACTTTAGTCTAGCTAGTTAAAGGAACTGATTTTGATTACCAAGAAGAACCAGTATTATCCACAAAAAAGTATATACCCAGGCAAACATATCCTTGTCTCCTCCATCCTCAAAAAAATCTCTATTAATCCTTCCATCCCCTAACAATCATCCTATAACTCTTCTGCCCTTTGTGGCCAGACTCCTTGAAAGGGCCATCTACAATAGGTGCTTCCATTTTTCTGTCCGCTCATTCACTTCTTGAACTTGAACTTGAACTCTTACTTGGGTTCCAACCTCACCATTAACTGAAACTGTTCTAGTTATTAATTAAATTTTAGAAGCATACCTTTTTAATTTATTTTTCTTGTTTGTATGTGTGTTTTCTTTTGCAACATGGCAAATATGGACATTTGTTTTGCATGATTTCATATGTATAAATGATAGCAAATTGTTTGCCTTCCTAAGGAGTGGGGGAAGGAGAAAGGGAGAGAATTTGCAACCCAAAATTTTTTAAAATATTAAAAAAATTTAAAATGTAATTGGGAAATATTTTTACAAATTAAAAATAGTTTTTTTTTTTTGTCCAGGCAATTGGGGTTAAGTGACTTGCCTAGGGTCACACGGGTAGTGTCAAGTGTCTGGTCTGAGACCAGATTTGAACTCAAGTCCTCCTGATTCCAGGGCTGGTGCTCTATCCACTGCAGCACCTTGCTGCCCCCAAAATAGATTTTTTCAAAAAATTTATGGATTTGAATTGTAGAGGGGGTCACCTCCTTACCCACCCTGAGTTCCCTCCACCAATTAAATCCTAAGTATGACAAAAAACATACACAAGGCATCGTGTTAGGTGCTAAGACTATAATGATAAGAATGGAAAACAGTCCCTTTCCTCAAAGGATTTACATTCTTTTGACAGATAGGGCATGTACACAGAGCTCTTAGAATTGCAAGGGATCATTTATAATCCAACCTTCTATCAAATCAGAAATGCCTTCTTCAGCACTTCTAAATCATCACTCCAGCTTAGATTCTTATAATCCAGCCACTGCTCAGGTTCTTAAAATCTAGCCACTGCTGGGATTCTTATAATCTAGCCACTGCTCAGATTCTTATAATCTAGCCAATAACCCACAGATGCTCAGATTCCTTAAGAGTCTAGCTAATATGGCAAATCTTCAATAAACCTTGTTTTTGGCTGAAAGAAGGCTTGGGTCAAATTCTTTCGGGCAGGACCCACGTGTTGTGATTTTGGGGTCCCAGGACCCCACCCCCTAAACTGCATCATTTTGGTGGTCCCTACAGGGAAACTGCCTAACCCCAAGTTCTTCTCCAGCCAAGACTGGAAGGTATATAAGCTTCCCCCCTCCCCTCCTTTCTTGCTCTGCAGTTGGGGTCGCTCTCCAAGCACCAAGGCTTGGAGGTGCTTTTCTGGCAGACAGTTACAAGGCTGTCTCACACCTGGCCTGGTGCTCTCAGGCTCTCAGTCCACTGGGTCAGTTCAAGGCCATGGACCTGGGTACACCTTCCACAGCATAGAGGACAAGGACGGAGGGACGCCTGATCTGGAAGTATATGCTCAATTCTGTTAACTCCCTCGGTGCTAGGGAATTGCGGAAAACTGCAATTGCTTTTTGGTTCCCTGAGGCTTACTGCCTTCCCTCTGCACCTCTGAATCCTCCTTCATGGGTGTTACAGAGAAAGTTAGAACAGCTAAAAATATCTTGGCATATTCTGGAGGTTTTGTGATTGATCATTAAGGAGTTTTGAAACATCTGTACAACCTGGTCACTCCCTTCCCTTGAGTCAAGAGGGTATCTGTTAACCCCTCTTATAGAAGAAGAGAGTTTCACCCTTTACCCTTCTCCTTTGATTTTGCTCTCCCCCACCTGGGAAAGGAAGGAGGGGGGAGGGGCAGCAGCTACGGGGGGGGGGGGGGGGGGGGCAAGGGCTTTGGGCCCTAGGGCAACCTTTACCTGGAAGCATCACCCAGGTTCAGCACATCCTGCTCAAGGTAAAGAAGCTGGCCTCCGAACTCGGGTAAGCATGCTCTTCTTAAAGTTTTAGTTTTAACTGTTAATGATGAGATGTTGATTCTCTGTGTAAAGTAACTTGGAAACGCGTTGGTAATGGGTTTGTTTCAAGTTTCAAATTGATGAACTTTTTGTATCAGTTATGTCAAGCAACTTTTCATAATTTGGTTACCACTAAAATAGTTTGGCTATTGTTGGTTATTGTTTTAATGTATAAACTAGCTGAAAAGCTTGTTTGGGTTATGGCTTACTGAGAATTTGCAAGTGTATAGAAATCTCTAATGATTGGCTTTTCACATCAGGACAAATTTAAATTTGAGATATAAATCCTGGAAAAGTTTTTCCTAAGCTGTGATTAGTAAAACTTGCTGTTTGAGGTAAAAGCTCATAGGATTTTGTTTTGAGTTGTCTGATGGGTCATAATCCATTGATAATCAATAATCTACCATCTGAGAGAAATGCCACAAGTTACTCAGAGAAGGTGATACTGGTGGGAAGTCAGCATTGGGAAAAGCTGAAAGGACAATTTTAGCCTCAGTCTAAGATGGGATCCTCCTGGCTCAGTTTCCCCATTATGTTCCTTTGAAAGAGAATGTTACCCACCTGGCTATTCTTGAGTCTGGCTATGAGGTGGATTTGGTACTGCATGGTTGGAAAACTGAATTATCTGAATCCAAACAGAGCTGAGGATGTTTTATCCTCTCAAAGTTGGGCCCTAAATCTAGTCCCTGCTTTATATCTGGGCCCTGCAGTTTTTACTGTCAGATTTGTGTCTTGCAGACTATGGGCCATTCACCTACAGTTGGTAGCAAACAGCGGGTACCAGCTAATGTCCCCCCATTGTTCCCTGGATGCAGCCTGTGCTCAGTTCCAGTCAACCTCCTTTTTGGGAACCCTTCCAGGCAGGGACAGCTCTATGCCCCTTGCCAGCAGGAAGCAGTTTCAGAAGTCGAGACCATCGCCCCTTACCCCAAAAGAATTTGGGTCCCATTTGTTTGAGGAGGGAATGATGAGAATGGGAGCTAAATCCCCAAAAGGAAAAACCCTGGACTTTCCCACATGGCCAAGTCTCTGGCATTCACCTGAAGCTATAATCTCATCAACTGGCTTTTCATTGTGGCTACACCCAATCTCCCAATTCTATTACCCTTAACCTAGCCTAGCCCTCCCTGTGGGCCCCCAGCCATTTCCCACACTTAATCCTAGTTAGGTTCCATTGTCCAGGTTCCAGGAGTTCTATTCACCCCAGCTTACTGGCCATTCCTGTCCAGATTTCCTTAGACCCCTCCTCCAGTCACCCCAAACTACTTGGCACTCCTAGATCCCTCCCACAGTCTTTCTGTATATAAGGTCCATCTTGTCTCCATTAAGATGCTTAGATTCTTATAATCTAGCCACTGCTCAGATTCCTAAAATTTAGCCACTGTTTATATTCTTATAATCTAGCCAATACGCCAATAGCTTACTAATGTTCAGACACCTTAAGAGTCTGCCCAATATGATGGATGTTCTAATAAACTTTGTCCTCGGCTGAGAAAATAAATAAATAAATCATCACCCCCACCTTTGCTTGAATAGTTCCAGCAACAAGAAGGTCTTTTAGAGTGGTCTAATTAATTTTGAAATAACTCCTGCTATAAATAAGCTTTTTCCAATATGGACCTGAAATCTATCTCCATAGATTATTATTAGCTCCATTGCTTTGGTCAAAGTCCCGCCCTACTAAAAGCAGGGCGAATCTACTCCCTCTCCCATGTGGATAGTCGTATACTCCACTTCTATTTCACTTTGACAAAGTTTTGTTTGTCTGACTGGTAGAATATGAGCTCCTTGAGATCTGGATTTATTTTATTTTTGTCTCCATACCCCCAGTATTCAGTACAGTGCCTGTACATAGTAGGTACTTAATAAATGCTTGTTGAATGGATGAATTTCTGACTGCATATACTTTGTAGTCTTCTTTCTTCTAATTCTCCTTCATTCAATTGACAAGTTACTTGAACACAGCACTCCATCATCTCTTGTCTCTGCATCATTGCACTTCCTGACTCCTGTATCTGGAATGCTTTGCCCTCTCACACTTTTTTCTCTTAATTTTCTTGGTTTCCTTCAAGAGGGCTCAATTCAAATCTCACTTTCTGCAGGAGGCCTTCCCTGCCCTCTACCTACTAGTGCCCTCCTCTCTGAGATTATCTTCCATTTACTCTGTATATACTAATGATTTCTTAGTAGCTAAATCCAATGACCTTTTCTCAGTACTCACCCTTCTTGACCTATCTGTAGGCTTTTATACTGTTGACCATCCTTTTTGTCTTGATACTCTCTTCTCTCTAGGTTTTCCAAACACTGCTCTCCTGGTTTTCCTACTATCTATCTGACTACTCCTCCGTTTCCTTTGCTGGATCCTCATCTAGGTCCTGCCCTCTAACCATAGGTGTCCTACTGGGTTCTGTTAT